TGAAACACTGGGAAAAAGCAGGGTGCCAATGCCTCTGAGCTGAATTTCTGATTGGAGAGGCTACACCTCTGAGGTCCTGCAAGGAATTCTCAGGCTGACAGGAGAGCTGATGGCCTTTAACATGTTGCTTCACTTCTTTGGCATGTGAGCATGCTTCTGAGTGAGAGAAATGGATACTGGGAAGAGCTGGGGTCACCTCATAGTTGTGTTACTCATCTGGAACCAGTCTGTGGCTGCTATGAGATGTGAGGTATGCTGCAGCCCTCACACAGATACTGTAAGGGGAGTCCTACAGGCTTGCTGAATTCTTGAGATAACTGCAGAGAGCTCTGCACCTCGTGCTACAGATCACGCTGCCCGTCCTCTACGAGAATGGGACAGCACAGCTCTGCTGCCTGTCAGCCTGAGCCTCTGTTGGAGCCTTTCTCTCAGGTTTCAGAGGCCTCCCTACTCCATTTATGTAGCCTTTCCTTGCCCTTCTCAAGGTCCAATTTCATTCCCCCAAAGTGGTAGAGCTGGCAGGATTGCAGGGGAACCTGTGTGTGCTAGAGCCTGTGATCTACAAGAGCAGCAAGGGCACAGCAGCAGCCTGTGTTGGTGCCTGTGGGGTTATCTGGCAATGTGGTGTTGGGTTAAGAGCCTATGACTTTTGCAGGCCAGTGTCACGGCTTCAAAGACAAATGCAAGTCAAGTTTTGTGTATTGTCGCCTGGCTGTTGGGCACACCTCCTGGCCTTTGCTGTCAGCTAGAATTAGCTTAGTAGGTGAGTTAAAAGGTACCATTAGGAACCCAGCTATTCTGGAGACTTTCTACAGAGAACAGAAAGTCCCATGCACAGTACTTCATTCTTAATTTTGGTACCATTCACTTGAATTTACAATTCTTGTTGCTACTCCTCAACTGCCTGACACCCTGGAGTCATCCTAGGTTTTCTTTAAGGTGGCTGAAATGGAGATAAGCTTTGGGTGGGGTGTTCTACAGCTCAGATGATTTGTTGAGCCAGTGGCAACTGCTGTTTCTTCTTTTTCCCTTCCCTGATGATGCTTTATCCCTGTGACATGCTCAACTTCCGCTGGCCCACAACCTGCTACAGATTTTGAAACTGGATCCCTTGACTGGCTGTGACCCGTGCTGGGGCAATGGCTGGGGCAGATTAATTTACTGCTCACCTGTTTGCACATCACTTGCTTTACTACTGGAATACAAACTGGTTGTATTCCAGTGAAGGTGGTTGTTTCTGAATGAAGCAGATTTCACTAAAGAAAACAGGAAGATTGGACTGCCTGTATCTGGTTTGGTTGTTTTGGAGAGTGAGAAATTATTTTTGTTAAAACTGCTGTTGCTGTTCTGTTCTTTGTAATCTCTGTACACACCAGGTGTACCCCTGAGAACAGCAGGGTAAGTGCCTGGGAAGTGCCAGAGAAAAAATGATGGCTTGGGAGACATCACACAGCTGCAGTCTCCTGCACTTGCTTAGCAATGTATGCTCCTGCCTTGGTGGTCAAAAATTAAAGTGGGATACTGGAATTTCCCATAGCTTTCTGAAGTAGACCTTGAGCTCCAATTCTGTATTTTTTTCACCTTTGCATAAATTTTTAGGTCACAAATACAAGTGCTATGATACAAAGGTGGTATCATGCATTAGGTATACATAGAAAGGTAAAATACATTTGAAGGCCAAAGTTAACAAGTGGCAGCTAAATGTCCACACTGCACCTGTGCTCTAGCCAATAATAGGTCTCACTTTAAAAGATGGAATCAGTAACAATTTCCCTTTTGCCTTTCTTCCTGTATTCTCTTTAACATTCATCTCTGTTGCTATTTCTACTTATTCCAGGCCGTGGCCTGGGGCTGCTGCCTCTCCCAGGTCCTCAAACACAGGAACAGTAGTTGTGCACTAAAGGACATTATTAGAACATCTTATTGGTTAGAAACTGTGCTATCACCACAATGGAACAGCCTGCCTTAGGGGCTACAAATGAAACTCCTGGGCATAATTTTTATTTATGCTGATGTTCTAGTTCTCTTACTCATAAACGTTGCACAAAACATTGCTGAGGAAACAAGTAGCCCTTTTTCCCCCATTGTCTGATGGAGCCATTTGTACTTGAATAATGAAATGCTGTCAGTTGAGCTGCATCATTCTTACAACTACTCTTGCATAGCTATAAATGATAAAGTGTACAGAAATGCAGATAAACAAAATTGTGAGCAAAATTGTGAAGTCATTCTGCAGCTAAGCCTAAATGAAAACTCTGTAGGAGCTTTAGACACTGGGGATCAAGGATAAAAGGACAGCTTGAAGCTGGTTGTTTTCTGGTCAGCTGTAAGACATGTAAGCACCTTTTTTCTTTGATCCCGTTAATCTTTACTTCAAATGACCAAAAGCCCTACTTTGCTTTGTAAACAACCAGAATCCTACCTTTGAAAAAAGGAGCAGTGATGACAAAACTGTAGCTTTAAAGATAAGAGGCCATTTTGTTAGAGCAAAGTAACACTAGCAGGCTTTTGTCTATTTGAAAAAAAAATTGATGTTATGATCTATGTACTCATGGCCCGCATGAATCTGGGCAGAAAAAAATCTTTACATTGCAGATCACTGCTCCTGACTGCTCCTAAGTTTGTTACGTCTGGAGGATTCAGATATGTAATGGTCTGTGACTGCCTTGTTCTGCTACTGCTTGTGCTAAGACACGAATATAACACGAAGTAAAATGTGACGAAAGAAAAAAATTTAAACCCAACCAACTAAAACCCTCAGAAAAAATACCCAAACCTTACAGTATTGATTAATCTTATCAGTGATGTGGGTCAGGCTTGCATAACAAGGTCTTTAAACAACTTGTGTTTTAAGCACTACCTTAAAAGTAAATGTGAATGAATAGAGGAGAGAAAGTCTTAAATCCAAGGCAGCCTGAATTTGCTCTTGGATCTGCAGATAAATTGATTTTATATAGGTAACATTTAGCTAGAATGATTTTTTCCCTACTATGTGATAGGAGTGCCTCTACAATGACAGAAACCAGTTCTTTGGACTGGACTGACTGCTCCAGTTTCTGGATACTGGGGTGTGTAATTCTCTGGTTCTTAAACAGACATTTCACTGTGGATCCATTAAACATTCATGCTTACAGTTTAGGCAGACAGGTGCTTTCTTTGTGAAAGGTCTATTTTAATCAATTTATTTCCTCTTTTAAGTTGCATCTACCCAGAAAAAAAGTCATTGATGTTGAGACAGTTCATCGACAGGAAATATGGTCAAGAAACTGTTTTTATTTATTTTTGTGTTACTTGTATTACAGGAAATGAGTATGTCATTACTTGTGCCTTTCTGTGGGCTTCACTGCTGTGGTGTTTTCTTACAGGACTTTTGCATTTACAGAATTTGAAGGTGAAATTCGTATTAATCTTTAATCAGACTCATGTTGACAAGAAGACAAAATTTGCTGAGTGACATTTTTTACAATGTATAAGTCACAAATGTAGAGATAGGCAGGGAAAAAAAACCCCTAAATTCTGATTATTGGCCAGAATGGAGAACTTGGAGCGGAGGGCCGCAAGAGTGGTGAAGTCCTGTCTGAGGAGCAGAGGCTTTATACTTGTACGCATCAAACCATGCTCTTTAGTTTTCAAACCAGTCCCTGTGTGTTACAATTCTTTGTAAAATAAAACCAAGTTTCCTAGGGCATCCTTTCTGTTCAGCTCTCTGGGGTAAGGAATACAGAAGTTTCCTTGAGGATGGGAGAAAGTCTGTGATCACTTGTGACTGTGCACAAACCCTCCCTGCACTGTACTGACTCAGCCAGGTGGTCACATCTTTTCAACAAGACAGGCTCTGATGGGGGGATGTAGAAGTCCTCTACAATATCTCACCTGCTTTTCAGTGAGCCAGAGCACTCAAGCTGCAGGCCACACTTACAAGGCAGCCAGGTGAGTATGGCAGATGAAAGGCTGGTGCCCATCTGCCCAGCCACATGTACCTGGCTAAAATAAACTTTGTTTCCTGTCATTGTCAACAAGTGCAATTTATTATTGTGGACAAGGTACCCAGGAAAGTGGGAATTGTGTTCTGCACTGCAGTGCTATGATTGTGCCAGACATGTTTTTCTCTGACTGGCTTCCTCTAGCTGTTTTTTGACATTTCCTTTCTGTCTAAAAGTTTATGCTTCATAAGTGAAGCAATGGTCTGTGTCTATTGGAGCTCCTTTAAGCTGCAATGGGCCATCTGGCTGATGGAGTCACAGACTTTGGTTGATGCTCATGAGGCACAGGGGAGGCAGGTGGTGGCAGTTGTTACGTAAGAACTGGTACAACTTGGACTTCTCCTTGGAGGAAGAAGGTTAGAAACTAACCCTAGGAGATATCAGAGCACAGGCTTTAGCCAGGTTCCTAAGACTTCTCCTAGTTCCTCACCTACAGCAAGACAATGTATCTTACCAGCACTTCCTCAGAACCTGTTGAGCTCATTCTGCTGCAACAGCAATGTCAGGCAATAGCTGTACTCTGATTAAACAATAACTCAAATCATCTTGGGTTGATTTTGTGCAATGCATGTACTAACTTCAATTTAAAGTTAAACCAGAAAATACACCACCTCTTTTCCATTTGCTGTACAAGGTGCCTCATGTGTCTTCTTCTACACTGTTTGATGTACTAGTCATCAAACAGTAAGCAATTCAATCGTTTTCCAAAACCAAAGCTTGATGCAGAATGCTATGCCATAGCTGTCATCAGTGCAAGAAATTGAACTTAGCAGTCTCATTAAGTTAAGAACTCTAAGTAAAAAACTGCAATCATTAAATCTACATAGATCTGTTAAAATTTGGATTTTCTTCTTGTGAAATAGTTTAATTTTTCATTTGTGAGCTTCTGCTAGGGGTAACATAGTACACTATAGAACTGTTTGTCCATTCTGGAGGAGGACATAGTTTGATGTTAAGTTTAAGTTGTTGAATTCTTGCAGACTACAACATCTCAGATCTTTATAGCAGGACCACAACTGCGCTATCAATTATTTAAATCAATAAATATTTCATTAACTTATTATTACAGCTCTAAAAATATAAATCTAGTTTTAATATTCTTAAGTTTGTTTCGAGTTATACAGTATGGGCAAAATACACAAAATTCTTCTGATAACTGACCCTTTATCCTTTAAGATCTAATTTACACAAAGATTATTATCCAATTAATAGTATCCTGCTACAGAGACCTTAGCAGTATTTAAACAGAAATAACTGAAAATAAACCTAACAATTCACTACTGGTTGGCAAATGGCAGTTAACCACAGAAGGAACTCTATCCCTGTTTAACAGGTAAGTTTTGGTTACAGTTATGAATAGTTACGTGAAATGTGAAGGGCCTCTTGAAAGTTTTCCTCAAGCTCATCAAGTTCCTTATTGACTTCCAAATCACTGTCACAAGCAAAAAAAGCTGCCTCACAGGTGGATGAAGTGTCTGGGTGTTCTTCAAATTCCACACCACAGAAGTCAGAGTCTGTCCCAGCACCCATAATTTCTGTGGTATCTTCTGAGAAGTCCTTCTTGCCCCTTGTCTCCCTCGACCTTTTGCTCCGGGGCATTGATTCACATTTGTTTGGTTTCTTTAATGACAAGTCTATGGTCTCAAGGAATTCTTCATTTTTTGTAGCTTTCCTCAGCTTGTGACCTTTACTGGCAAACTTGAGCTCTCCTGTTGTATCACACTCCTGCAGATCCCGTGGGCCTGAGGCTTCCTGAGCCGCACGGATGAGCTCTATGTTGCTGTCCTGGCTGCAGCCAAGGTCTGATTTCAGCACATCCAACATCTGGCGCATTTTGCCCTAAGGGGTAAAGGAAGAAAAGGATGACACTTCTCCAGCCCCCATGGCACCTGAGCTCTGCTCAGACAGGGCTTAACTCTGACAGAAGGAAAGGGAGGCTGCTTGCAATCAAGTGACTAAATGAAACACTGAGTGTCACCAAACTGAATGGACTGTTGTCCATTCTTTGTCACTCTACCTGTGACTCCTGATCTGCCGTGATCCATGAGTGAGCAGATCTCATTTATGGAGAGAGAGAGGCTCCCCACTGAATATTCTGAGAATTCTGATGACCTTTACCCTCCAATATGCCTGTGCATTTGCCCTGCTCTTTGGAAACGTGACCTCACATGCAGAGACTACTGTAAGGGCAGCACATACCTCATCAAGGCGGTTCTTATTTTCTTCTATATAGCACTCAAACAGTTGATCCAGAACCCTAGAAATAAAAAATCAAATTATTTCACAGGAGGAAAAACAACTTTTACCAGATGTAAATAACCTAATGACTGTATGTTTTATTTCCATTTCTTAGCTGAATGGCACATCTAAGACTGTTTCAATTCCGCTCTGTCACAAAGAGGGCTACCTGTAGTCAGCAACCCACTGGACACACGCTCAACAGGCAGACTTGGGCAGCACATGGCAGTTGTAGTACAACTATGTGTGTGTTTGACCTGGTGTGCCTATGTGCTGCAATCCAGTGGTGATTCTACTGGCATGCTGAAGTATCCAAAATCTCTTGGATGCACCATAGTGGCTGCTATACACAAGAACAAGTAAAGAGAAGGAATAAAATCCAGCTGCAGTAAAAAAAATCCAGAGCAAAGTCCTCAGTCCTGAGAGCTCTCTTCCATTTATTAGGCTAAATGAGAAAAAAATTCTGTAAAGAAATTGTTCTGTGACAAATAAAGTACAGTCACTGGAATAGAATTCTAGAAAGTCAAGTGAATTTAATCTAGCTTATATGAGAAATTATTAAAAAACCCAAACGATAAGAAGGGTTCTAGTAGAAGAAAAAATTACTGTAAAAGAGTCAGAGGTAGACTGCTCTCAAAATTTCTTGAAGATTTAATTTTTTTACTTGGTGTATTTAGTATTCTTACTGACAGCCTTGACATAAGAAGAAAAAAATAAGAGCACATAGAATAGCAAAAACAGCTGGGAACATTATCAACCCAAAGCAAGATCAGAATGTTATGAAATTAGACTGCCTTGAATGCAGAATTTCAAAAATGGTTTAACATTCTGTATATATATTCTGTATATGTACAGAAATACTGCAATTTTTTTCATAAATTGAGAGTCCTTTATTAGAAAGAACCAGTATCATATTGAAAAAAAGATTCTGATTTAGCAGCAGGTGAACTTTTATCTGCAAGAGAATGTAACCCTTGCAACCCATGGTGAAGACTGAATTCATACTGAAGCAGGAAAGACAGAAGGGGAACAAAGGATTGTGTAAAAGATTAGTTACTCAGTTTATTTAGCAAAACAGATGTTGCAGACTAAAATGAGTTCTTAGAATTTTTCCACCTAGAGTTCCAGGTCAGTTTTTAACAGAAGCTTTTATCTCATGGTACATAGCAGCAGATCAAAGTTGATGACCCAAAGGTATTTCCTAGTTCCCCTTTCTTACATAAAGCAAAAAAGAAGAGGAAACAAAACAAAAGCAAAGGCTGTGTGTATAAAGAAATTATTACTAATCACTACTTCCCTTACTTATGGAGTCTATGGGTTTCTGACATAGCATTACAAAATTGAAAGCAACTGTAACTTACCTGTTGGAAAATAAGCCAAGTCTAAGAATTTCATTTGTTACATCTTCAATGAAAGTTAAATACAAAAGCTCCTCTTCTCTGCAGGGAGGATAGAAACCCCAATGTTAAATGATTTACCACAGAAACACATATGACACATTTTAGTAGGTTTAATCAACTTCACTGGAAAGGCCATTAAGAAGATTTTATAGTTCTTGTATCATCAGTTATGTTTCATAAAACGTAAGGCTATCACAACAAGCTAAGCCTTTTCTTCAATCTGGATAATGAAAAACTGAAAAATATGAGTTTGTTAGAAAGGTGGTCATGGTGCTTTGTCTTTATGCTGACTTTCTGCTGCGGTATAAATTAGCACAGAGATTCCAAGCGAGGGAATCAGTGAATCTTGACAAGCGTTCAGAACATGCACTGCACTCAAGAAAGGGGAGCTAACTGGGAAAAAAGTGAACAATTGCAGTTTGATGCTCTGGGTATAGGCTTCTAAAGGAGCTTCTAGAGAATCTGACTGCAGCTGAAAATTGCTGGTCCTAAATGGAAGCTGAAAAGGATTTAATTGCTTATTTGGCAGCATCCACTCATTTCAAGATATCTCCTTGATGGATCAAATCTTGTTAGTGTGAGATGTGACTTTCACCTATTATTTCTATTTTAGTACCTCTAAAAGAGTTGATGCCATTTACTCTAAATTGGACACTCTCAAAATGTCTGGAGTTCTGCTTGAAAGACAACAGGAAAGAAAACCCCAAAAGAAAATATTTCAGTGCTGTTTCTCTTTCATAGCATCTTTCTAAGTCTCCCAAAGCATTCAATCAAACTCTATTGAGTCATTCCCCAGTCTTAATAAACAGAAAGTAAAAATGGAATACATCTTGCACAATTTTCATTACATAAAATTTGTTATTGTGCCTAAATATTATAATTTTGGTTCCCTCTATAGTCAAGAAAGTTACCTACAGCTGGTATTTGAGACCTCTATTATAAGCCTTAAGTTAGGCATACACAAGCCTGTCCTAAATCACAAATAATTAAATAACTTTTCCAAGGCCATTTGATGAAGCTTTAGTAGTGTTTCTGAATATAACACAAAACTCCTCTAATTTTCATCACATTTCAGTGCAGAAATGTGGTAAGAATGCCCTTCAATTTGGTGCTTCATTTGCTAATATTTGCTTCAGAGATTACAGACCTAAAAACAAACTATAGGCACTATACAATCTTCTGAAGCTAAAATGAATTTTCTTTGTTATTTGATTCACATAAAATTTTTAAAGTATTTTATTTTTCAAGTTCATCAGTTTGGAGGAAAATCTTCTAGTTTGATGTTATAAATGAGAAGAAAAATGGTTCAAAAACATACTTACTCAGCATCGACAGTTCTCTTTGGTGAGGACTTCTGAGGACACCATGATGTCTCTCTAATCAGAAAATCAGAGGGAAAGAAAAAGAACAACATTCTAAACCCCTTTTATACTATCTTGCATGTAATTTTCTTCTGGAGCCATGGAGTGCCATTATATGATTTCCTTTCACAAAAAAGCCCAGCATAACACCCCTAAACCCCGCTCCAGTAGCAAAATCCCCTGCTGGCACTGAAACCTGAAAGACTGAGGCTCAACAGTATTACACCACCTCACCTGATGCAGTGCTCAGAAGACCTTGGTGCTACTTCAAATGCTATTCAGTCTCTGTTAGCCATAAGAATGCTTTTTAAACTCAGAGTACATTTTTTTCCTCAGGTAAAACTGCCTTTGTATGAAAAGGCCAGAGAGCAAATCAGTGAGTCATGCGTGACACTTAGGTCAGCAATGAGGAGAATCAGCTTGGAGCCCTTGGGCTCTGGCCTGATTTTCAACACTGCTCTCTTATTGCAGCTATCCCAGTATTAACTTTTCAGAAAAAGATGTGGGAAATGCTCCTGCAATGCAGTGTTTAGTTATAATACTATATAGTCTGTGAGCTCAGATGTACAGAACTAACATCTCTATTAATGCTTCCTCAATTTGTCAATTCTGACAAAAATACTCATGTATTTCAGAGCGCTCTTTCTTAATTGGCTTCCCAGTGGAACTTATCACAAGAAAAGAATGAATTCTGAAGTTGGGAAAGGCCATTGATATTAAAAAACCCAATAAAAGTTCTGTGAGAAGAAGACATAAAGAGAAATGCTAGTGAAGACTTATGGCCTAAGGACCAGCTGTATAGAAAGAAACATTTCCAATATTCCCTCCTGCTGTAAATCAGGCACCTTAGGCTGGAGTGTTGAAACCCATCCACTTCTCTCTCAGGCTCATCCAAAGCATATCTTTTATCTTCAGCCTGCAACACAGAAACAAAAATATTTATTATCAGTGCAAATACACAGCAAATTTCACCATTAAAATGAATCTAATAACTCTCTGTGATTAAGCAGCCCTAGAAATTTCATATCTTTTCTGAGAAACTCTGGGTAAAAAGACAAATGGGACATCTTCTGCTGGAAAGTCATGTACCAATTATCTGTGGCCTTAGCAGATATTTGATAGTGCACTTATAGAATAATTAAAAAAAATAAATTAAAGAGATGTCTTCATGTGCCTCAAGGTTTTTTTTTAATAGTTTCCACCCAGCGTTCTGAAATTCTCCCTCATCTATGTAACTAACTCATGTTATGGCAATAGAAAGAACACCTAAATCAGCTGCTCACTGCTGTTGGCAGTGATGAAGTGTATTACCCCACAGTGATGGTGGTGGGAAGAGTACCCAAATTACTGGCAAATGCATTATTACCTTTGATTGTATCTTCTGCTTTTCACTTGTGACTTTTCTCACATGCACTTGGTCTGCAGATGGAAAGCTAAAAAATTTAGAGAGGTGTTAGATTCCCAAGTAGACTTTCAAAAAATGCAGGATGAGAATAACAGTGCCACTGTAGATAGGTCTTATCAGCCTCAACAGAATGCAGTACTGAACAGTTCAGAAAACTTCTGCCAGACAGGTGATCCAAATTAACTATTTAGTTGCATATTAGCAGGGGATAACTGAATTATTCAATATAATTGTTCAGAATTAAGAATGGAGATGATCCTAAAATTAAAAGTGCACGAGGAAAATAAACCACTCACAGCCAGAAAATCAACAGTTGCAATACAGAGCCAAAACTATCATAATTCCAGCCTTAGAAAATCCCTAATTTATTCTATGACAAAACTGGAGTTGGAGATGCAGGCATGGAGGACACAAAAGGGAAAAGATTTCTCTTTACAAGGTAGTATCAGTGGAAACAAAACCAAATCAGAACTGTCCAACTTGCTAAGAAGTTCAGTGCAAGAGAAGGATATTAATTTTGTTAACAATATTTTATATGGGGTATATCCAAAGATATTTGAATTCAAGTGATAGAAAAACCAATGAAGAGCTGCATTCAAGAGTTAAAGAAGTTGTTTGCACGATGTATTAGTTAACAGACTGGAAAGTAAGAGACTACAGGAGCAATAGGAAAATCACATTATTTTCTAGCTTTTGGTAAGGTGTATCTAGAATAATTATTCTAGTTGTAAATTCTAGTAAGGCATCAGTACAATTATTCAGGTTTTATACAAATGTAATGAGAGCAAAACATCTTGCTTTTATGAAGATACTGTTATGATAACATCTATATTCCAGAGTTTCAAAATAAAGCTTCAATCTCTGTACCTGGTCATATCAGTCTGTGTTTGAGCTTCCACACACCGCTTGCGGTGATTTTTCTTCCTCCTTCGAGCAGGAGTGTAAAACCTGTACTCTGACAGGAAAGGTTTAGCATTTGATATTAAGGTGCGTGGAGTGAAAGGTTTGCGGCTCTTAGTGAAGCACTCAGAGTGCTTCTCCAGAAGATCCCCACCAGTGGCTCTGGGGTGGTTTCCTTGGCACCTCTGGGAATAGTCAATGCTCACAAAGCTCTCGATGGAGTGACTGCGTGGAAGTGCAGAGCGTTTGCCTGGTGCCCTTGACACACAGACACTGGAGTAGGATGCCCCGGCTGCATGCCGAGAACATTTCCTGGTGCATTTCACTGGACTGGAGTGAACCAAGCAATCCTTGCCATAAGGAGATGGTGCACTTGATAGGTACTGTGCCTCCCCAGCAGAGGGTGAGACACCATCTTCTGCTTCCAAGAGACTCTAGGAAAAAATAAAACAATATTTGATTGCTTTGCGAGTTACCTGCTTTGCTTATGATGGTACTCCCAGCAATTACTGGGAGCTACCCAGTTGGTAACTGGAAGTTACCAACTTGGAGGTATTTGCTAAGTAAAAACTTTCAATTTTTGTAAAATCAAACTGGTTTCACAGCAGCCTCAGTGCTAACAGATTTTAAAACCTAGTCACTGGAAATAAGAGAGTAATAAGGAAATGGTTTACTTCAGTAGCAAAACATTGGTGCTCTGTTACAGAATATTGATGGTTACATCAAAGCAAGAGTTTAATCAATAAATTTTTAGAAGTCAAGAAATCATTCCACTGAGGCAGATTATTTTATCTGGATATGCTCTGTTCATACCTCCTGGGCAAGCTAAGGCAGACATATCTATAATTATACCAAGCTTAAAAATTCAAGATTATTCCAGAATTGTATTATGACATTGTGGCAAAGACAAATAAGACAGAAACACAACTAAATTCAAGTGTTACTTTAAGATGGAGTTTTTGGTTGGTTTGGTAGTTTTTTTTGTTTGTTTTATTAAATTAGAAAGAAAAATTAAATAGAAATTTTATTTAAGTCATAGAGTTTTGAAAAATTTGCACTATCAAACCAAAAATACCTGGACAGGGTATGCACACTCGTAATTTTGCTTTACAATGTGTCTGAAACACCTTATGAAAACAGCTGTTGTATGTTCTTTTCCTACGTAGGATAGAGTCAGGATATTCTGTCTATCAGTGAAAATTATGTACGACATTTTACAATCTCCATGGGCAGGCATACTGCAGAACTGGAAGATTAAATCAGAAACCTATCAGCAAACAAAATTTTGTATAAACCAATTTATTGCATCCACACATGTAACTATTTATGAAATTGAACAACTGTGTGATGCAGAAGAGATGGCTCCCACTGTGTGTAACTATCCAGCACCACAACTCCCAGAAACAGGGCTTACAGTGCAACAGTGAGGGAACCAAGCTGAGGATGGTGTTATTCTGGAAAAATCTCACTGCTGTACCTTGCAATCAGCAAGGCAAAACAACAGCTGTTTCCAAACCCAATCCAAAATCAACAGCCAACTTTCTAAAATTACTATCATACTTTCCTAACACTAGGGCAGTTCATATAGGTTAGGTCCACATCATCAGCAAACAAAGTGTTGTAGGATTTTTAAGAGAAGTAGAGGTGTTTCCTAAGAAGAAAATTAAATTTCTAGGCCCATTTGAGGTTTTTTAACAAACTTGAAGTTTAGTTCAGATAGGCTAACATAGAAATTAACTTGTCCATGTACCTCCACCACCTGAAAAGGAACAGGAAGACAAGGAGACACCAGTACAGAGCACAAGCTCTGCACTGACAAAAGGAAGAAAAGGGAGATGATTTCCATATGTGTTTCATTCATCTGTATTATACTTCTATCAAACAAGTAAAAACTATTAAGCAGAAGCATTACATTACTGAAGTTACTGAAGGAATACGTACCCTGTGGGAAGCCTGAGAAAGAGTGGATGCAGTATGGTATGACTTATACTGTGACATTCATTTATTAATGACATACAACCATAATGCCAGTTGAGAACATTCCAAGATTCACCAAGCAGCCTATCCTGATCTCATAATTAAGCTATGTGGAAACTACTTTGAGAGAGTAAGACTGAAACAGAGATCCATTGCATTTCCAATGGGGCTTCATTGCCTGAGCACAACAGAAACCTTGAGAAAATCCTCAAGAACACTTAACTGTTTGAAAATAATCAGCTGATTAAGATGTGGATTGAAGGTTGGATGAGTGATTTTTCCCCACCAGGAAGTGACAATGGACTGAATGCCAACAAAAGTCACAAAACCACTGTAAAATAAAGTGTCTGTGGGGATTCTGCAAGATAACCAATATTTGTCCTGAGACTTCTGAAGTCTCCTACTGAGGTGGGCATGGAGGGAAAAAACCCCAGTGACCAAAACTGGAAATCTTTATACATTTATTGAAAATTCATGACATTCTAACCTACAAAAAGATAGTTTAAGATAGTAATATATTACTAGCAAACCAATAAGATATAGTGTATTATATCAACCTATATAACTGGTAGTACAGCTTGTAAATATACACAGATTTTCTATTCTAACATTCAACCCTAAAAAAGGTGTTTTTAAAAATTATTAGCAATAGACTTTTACTGTATAAATGCTCCAGTTTCTCATAACACTGCTACTGTTATTGCTTAGAATCTACACTATTTCATTCTTTTTCCTTTCAAACACAATATTTTAAATTAAAGCTCAATTATGATGAATATACATTTTATAGCATGCAGTAAATGCTATTTACAGGAATATTAAAAAATGCAGGTATTTCATTGTGAAAATTAAGTCACAGATCACACTGCCATCATACCACAAATTTCCTTCATAACAATTTTCTCTCACATCAGTAAGATCTATCTAAACTATTCCAGTACCCCAAAATATCCAGAGTTGCTGGTACCTAATGCAAAGAAGTTTTCTTTTACTTAGCTGAGGCAAAATAAGCTATTCTTGATGGTGTCTCATGTGAGTCAACTGTTATTTTACTACTACAGCATAATTAAATGCTGAACTGATAACATGCAGTTACAATGCCAAACAAATGCCTGTGTTAGCAAGCAGAATAATGAGGCTTACAGTGTGATTGTTTGCATATAAAGTAGTTGCAGTGGTAGCTCAGCACTATAGAAAACAGACAAGACTGGAAAGCTTCAGCATCCACCTATATAGATAAAAGCTAATTCCATACCCTTCAGTGTATATTACAAACAGCTTAATTCTTGTGAATGCTTTACTCTCAGTGACTAAAGCAGTTCATTGAGCTGCAATATAAATTGTATTGTAGAAGCATTTGTAAGCATAGGAGGACTGGTTCCCTGCATTAAGCAAAATAATTAAGGAAAGAGATAAAGTTGTATTAGCAGATTATTTATCTATACCTCATGAAAATTACATGCTCTGTTCCTCAGAAGCAGATGAGTTGATAGAAAACAAGACAAAAACACAAGGTTGACATGGCAATATCCTAAATGTAAGCACTCCTTATATATGAGGAAGCTTAGGGCATTTATCATCTTCTCCTTCTCAAATATTTCCTAAGTAGAACAGACCAAGCACCTCACTAGTGAATAGAGAAAATTGCAACCCAAAGCTGCATCTGTGTCAGCTGTGAGATGTACTCATTCAAATACTGAGAAAATAATGTCTTTCAAAGCTCCTATCCTGAGGCAAAACTTTACTACTCAAACAGGGAGAAGTGCACTCCAAGTAGACAAAGAAACAGTATCATTAACAAGGAATCATGTCACTTCAAAAGATTTTAAAAGATTTTAAGGAGTGTCAGAGAACGCTGTTTGTCTGCAATTTGTCTCTTTTGAACTTTCAGAAAATTGTCCTGTGTTGCAAATAAATTGTAAGCAAGTATGCTCACTTTCTGTTCTGTTTCCTATAAAAAACATCAGATGTTTAAGTAGGAAACAAAAAAAGACAAAAACGTGCCTACAAATAGCACACTTATTAGAATATATTTGGTTATATTCTTCAAATAAAATAAAAAAAATCCATTATAGTATCTGAGCTTTAGCTATTAGAACTATCAAGAACTATAATTAATGTAATTTGGAGTAAAACATCTTGACTTATATCTTGCTTATCAATATATGTTTCTATTCTGTTAATTCAACCAAGTATAATCTGTTTTGAAAGATACAAGTATATTCAATGATACATTTCAGCAGCTCCTTAAAAAAGTTTTATAATGTATTTATGCTTCAATTTTATTAGTCACAAAACTGGGGTAAACTGAACAGTACTTTGCAGCAAGCATGTAGAGAGAGGACCTCTGAATTTTCATGGACTCTGTGGAAGAGAAAATTCAGTAAAAAGAGATCAAAGCATTCTGCTGTCATCTGAAGGGCAAAAGTAGTAACACAGACTATAAGTTACTTTTAATTTCTACAAGAAGTTTAGTTTTCCAGCTCAAAAGACACTAAAGTATCAGCTGCCTTAAAAAAACCAAACTTTGAAAAGAAACATTGCTAAATACTTCTTCACATAAAAGGTCCAAGGCAGCTCTCACTGGGGTCACTGAAATTATAGTAAGATTAGTTTAATCTTGAAATTAAGTTGGTCTTGTATGAAATTTCTTCCAATAGAATAGTTCATCTACCATTATAAAATGAGATCAAAGAGATGCTTTAGGAACTGCACTGTCAGGATACAGAAGCTAAAAATCTGCAATAAATGAGTGTATGATTCTTTAAACTTGAGAAAGCCATTTAAATATTGCTCTAAGTCAGCTGAGCACCTGCTCTCTGCTGTCTGGACAGAGCAAAACTTTCCTATAGGAAGTGACAAGCTGCCTTTAGAGAAAATTCATACAAGTACGTGAACAAATTTGGCCTTCTATAAATATATTCAGTTTGTATCCCGGTATCACTATTTTTCAAAATTATGGTCCTGGTACACTCTTTCATTTTGTGCATGTGTGTGTGGGAGTCAATTCTTTACTGTAGCAGTTCCTGCTTTTATCAAATACTCTGATGTTATTAAGAAGGGTATTACTGACTGTGCATTAATTCAAACAACCAGCATAAGAGGTGATTGTTGCTATGAAGCCTGAAAGGAAATCTGAATATTCCTAATGAAAACAACTTTCTTTGATGCTCAGAAGGTTCTTCTGCTTTGTTTAGTCACTGACATCTTCCATTATGACAGAACTAACTTAAGCACAATACATGTTCAGACTGCTGCTATCATAAGAGTGTAATAAATCTTTAAATATAAAGCATTTCAGTAGGCATTTCACACAGCCACATGTGTGTTGCATATAAAATTAACAAGAGACTAGAACCAGTTAATGGTGTTTCCCAATTTATATTTCATATGCACAAACAGATGGCCACAACCTTCATTCTTCAGAAAAAAAAAATCTCAAAAAACAGACTGAAAGGGATCTTGAAAGGTTAAGGCAATAGCACACTTCAAATGGTTAATAGAGAAAATTTAACCTCCTATGAAGCAGCCTTCCTTCAACTGATTTTTGGCGTGGATTAATTTATTTTAAAAAATTCATTAGCAGCCAGAAATGCCTGTTAATAGGATTACTTGAACACGAGATAAAATACCAAGTCTTGCTCAAATCAGAACTTTTACTCATGGCCAGCTCAATTCAGGCAGAATTTCAGAAAATCTTATTTTGAAAAACAAAGGAAAAAAGCTGCACTTTGTTGTAGTGCATCCTTTCATTTTAAAGCTTGGAATTCATGTAGTAATTAGAGACACATGTTACTTGGTTTTGCAATGAAACAATTTAAGGAACTGTGCCTGCCCCAAGTTTGAAAAAAAATAACATGGAAGGACAAAAATGGTATTAATAAAAAACAAAATTTAGATTTTAAATATCACATTTCCTCCCTTTTCTATTCATGCCTATGCTTTCATCCATAACTAGGAGCCATGTATTGAATTTCAAAGCATTATTTCTCTGCACACAATAAGGTCACACTCAGGCTGCCTGCTACAAAAATCAGTCACACAGAAAGAAACTGACGGTGTTTGCTGTACTACTTGGAAATGTCCTCTAGCTTTATAGATATTTAAACAATGTGTGAAGCTTATGCTGTTAGAATCACAGAGTTAAATCATTACTCTGTTTTAAGCTGCAATTATTCATTTACAATGATGAACAAGAATGTAATTTGTTTGGCTATTTATGTATTTATTTATTAGTTAGAAATACACACCTCATATCCTGATGAAATGCCAGCCAAATTAAGTGAGCCTATGCATATAAGCAGAATATATATCTACAGAAAGGTATATTTTAGTCTAAGCATTATTTCTGCTTTCAAGAAATGCAACTGAATGATTTAGTATACTGTTAGATAAAAATGTATTACCAACTAGGACTATTCATTATGAAAAAATGGAAGATTCCTGATTCTTCTGCTTGGAAGGGTGGAGGTAACAGAGCTCTTCCTTAGGAAATGGTACAAAGCTCTGGAGTGACAGAGGACAGGAATTTCAGCTGAGGTGAAAGCAAGAGAATTTAAGGGTAATTAGAGCTTGTATTTACTGCAAGCACTCTTCATCCAGGTACCTGACATCAGTGTCAGAAGGTCAAGATATACATTCAGTGCTGGGCATATGCCAGGAAGATCCTTGTCAGCTTTCTACTGCTTGAAAGATGCCAGCCCTCACTGCTGCACTGCAGTGATCAGCTGTTACTATGGGAGGGGAGTGTATGACAGTATCTACTAAACAGGATTAAAGTACATACCTTTCCAAAAGAGGATGGCGGCAGCCTTCCACTGTCTCTTGGACAGGATGGAGAGACAGTTTCACACACACTTATCTTCTGTCCACATCTGGCTATCTTCTTTTTCAGTTTCTCTCTTCTCTGCTGGTCAGCAACTTAGGGAAGAGACAAAGTTGGTCTGATCCAAACTGAAATATTCTTTGTTTCCCTCAGTGATTTGGAAACCACTACATTGTAGTGGTTTGCAATTGCTCAGCAAAGTCAGACTATAGAGATACATTCCACTTCCAACCTACAGCAGTTATAAAATTTATGTCTACTCTTAGAAAAAAAAATAATTAATAGAGTATACTTGTAGCTGAAGCTGTGCCTTAACTTGCCTGAAATTTTCTTACCTCACAACAAACACCAGCATATAGGACTTCCAAGATCAGTATTGCTAACAGAACATTTTGCTCAAAAAGTTACAAACTTTCTATCTGTTCTTTACAGCTAGAACTCCTTTGACTGTACTCTCAACCAGTATTTCACAAAAACCCCTGTGTTTATAGTTAGCAAATCTGACATGTAAAAAATCCACACTTACAACATGGAATTTCCTAAATACAGAAATCCATGTCAGAACAAGCAAATTTTTGTCAAGAACACAAAAAAATTGAAGGCTAGCTCTGAGAAGGCTACTGTCAGATCAGACCGGGGCATTTTTATCAGTCCACACTGGTCTGCAGTCCAAGACCTCACCTGCAGTGCAAAAAGTTGAATCAGGTATCTATGCCATCAGATGAAGTAGCCCAAAAGACAGGTAAATTTTCTGTGTACAAGTTTGCCATTAGTCACTTAATCTTACAAAATACAGTGCAAAGTTTTATGCAAATTGTAAGCAGCCAGGTTTCACAGATGAAATACAGAATCATTTAGGTTAGAGAAAACCTCCAAGAGCAAATCCAAGTATGTGAATCATTTACTTGATAGAGACACACAAAGGCCTTTGAGGACTTCTTCTCTGGTTTCATAATATATTTATATCATACTCTGGGAGACCCCAATCTGCACATGCACTACTATATTTAATGCACGGAGATGTAAAAAACTTCAGGGATTGGTGTGGTATATTCTTCTACACAGCTGAGACCTATAGCAACCTGAGGATGTTTAATCAACCTTTAAAATGCATTCACCTGTGTACCCTACATACATATTAATCTCCAGGAAATACTTAAGTAAGTGCATTCATTGGATTTAAACATTTTAGTCCCCTTTTAAGATGGAATTTAATCTTTCAGATGTGAAATATTTGCTCTTATTGCTCAGGAAAATCCCTCTTTCTCTTTCTTTTATTTCTTACAATTGATATGTAAAATACAGAGTAATTTATTTTAAGCTGCTGATTTATCCATCATATGCTATTAGAGTACTTCCAATATGAGACTGCTTAAATTACTGAGAAAAAAATTAGCTGAAGTTAACAACTGCTACATTATACAACTCTGAATTAAAAATTTACATTTTAACAGAATGATAAAATATACTGCATCATTAAATAATTAAAACAGAATGCTTTTCTTTCCATACTGAGTTATTGTGTCTGTTCTAAATTATTATTATTTCTAATTGTGTTTGTCTTAAAAGTTACAGAGAAGCACTCAAAAATTAGTTACAGGTTAGGCATTTCATATGTTTGAGATAAATAATTACTTATTCTGGGCCAATACAGCATGTCTGTGCGTGCACATCCATGAAGGCTCTAAAAACTCACATCTTGCCTACTGCTCAGGAAAAATGCTAATGGCTGATTGAACAAATATCTAGAGAAACAATGGGTGAATGAGAGACCTACAAAGCAAAAATGCAATACATACAGATAGATGTATGGGTAAGGACGAGTAGATGTCTGAATCAGCAAGTTCCTTACACTCAGGTGCTTAGGTGAGAAGTGGGTTTGCCTAAGACAATACAAGCTTTAACATTTTACTGCATGTTCCACCTGCACACCATGGCTCAACAGGAGTGTCTGGGCAAAGTGCAAAGCAGCGTGAATATTACTGCAAAGAATTCCCATGTTGTCCTTATTCTGCTCTTTATAAAGGAGAAACTCTGACATTTGACATACATGCATGCCTTTACAACTGGCATTCAAAGCTGTTAAAAAAACCTCCTCCAGGACTGGTGCTGGGACTTTTCACCCAAAGCATAGCTTATGCCCAAAAATAAAGAACAGTAAGGATTCCAGCTAAGGCTATCTTAGGATACCAGAATGACCCACTGGGACTATCACCACCTACATGGGAAATGTGGAGTCCTTGTCTCACACCAGTCATACAGTGAGCTCAGCTAATCCATTAAGTGTGCTCCAAAAGCCATAAAATCACTCATGTGCACCAAAAGGCAGCACAGACATGCAAAACAGAATGTCAGAAAACTCCAGTAATATAAAAATTGTATTGCCAAATCGGGAATTTTCAGGCTAGATCTGTGGTAAAAGCTAGGAATTTTGAAACCAGCAAAGTAAGAGATAGAGAAATCCTTCTAAAAAGAGTTAATGTAGATGTAAACAGCTGGAGGTAAGTTAGGATAGCTCTGAGGCAGTCAGCAAGTAACGCACACAAATGCAGAAACAGGCACGCTGCCCTACCTCTCCTTAGTTCACGTCCTCTACCCATGCAAGGACTGGAGAATCCAGTCTGATGCTTTGACTACAGCCAGATAGAAAACTTGCCTGGAACTCTGAGGCAGTAATTTCACTACTGAAGATACTTAAGGTTGTCATACACAGCTACTTGTATTGCAGTGCGAATATATTAAGCACAGAAAGAAAGAGACCAGCATTCAAGAGACATCCAATTTCAGAAGAGAGATTTAGATTTTAATTGAAAACATTGCTCACTGTTTAAGGTATCTTCTGCTTCAAATCCATTACAGATATAAAGCTTCTTTAGCCTTCAGTGAGGTCCTTAAACTAAATTTGAAAGAAGTGCCCTGGGCATACTGTCATAGACTAGTGGGAAGTAAACATAGACTGCATTTGTTAACAGATACTTAAAACAGTTTCACTGCAAATAGCTTTTATTTGAGCATTGGCTCCAGGAACATGTCACATATGCAGAGTTAAATATGGGAAAAGTACATAACAGTAAATATCTTGTGACAAATACATTTTTAAAAAAAGAAAAACACTGGGCTACTTTTCATCTTTTTAAAAGGGGAAAAAAATGTGTAGCAATAAAATAATACAGTTTATAAATCCAGATGATGAGTCCCTTTAAAAGTCTTATTAGAGCTTTAGAGATTAATTGCATTGCATTAATTAAGGTGCTCAAAACCCCACAGATTCATAGTATAGTAAAAGTATTAGAATATAAAGGATTTAGTGATTCTCTAGATCAGACAAATTCAGTCTATGAACCTAGATTCCATACCTTATTGCATCCACTCCATGAATCCATTCCCTTAATTTTGTTGTCAGTGAAAGGAAGCATAAGACTGAATTTCAGATATTAAACTGTAGCACTCCTCATAAAGAGATACCTCTAAGACACTGATCAATCTGTCATTTTAGCCTACTCTTCCCAGAGTACACCACACTTCAAAGCAGAGATCACATCACTTTATCTCCCTTTTAGAATACTCCCTCTATAGGCTTAATTATTTTTGCTGTAAGTCTAGACTGCAGCAGCATTTCAAGACATGCTTAAAATTATAAAACAAATGTCATAAATCTGGAAGAAACAAACTAATCATATATATCACAGTCCTAGTCAGTTTGAAAGCTCTGCACTTAGAAGGACAGAGCTGGAATGCCAGCGGTTGTCCTTTGCTCTGAATTTCCAATTGCTAAATTTATCACATCACATCACAAAACAGCTTGCAGTTAAATATCAAGTTATTTCATTTTTCATGTAAATAATTGATGGCAACAATGAAATACAAAGTTAGATTTAAATTGAGTTCAGCTTATAGAACAATGTATCACAAAGGAATTATCCAACACTCAGAATTTCTCTACTGTGTTTTTATATAAGCTATTTTGCAATAACACACTTAGAGTTATTGTTTCCCTTTTGAATTATTTTTTAGATAAATCATACAAACATCATCTTGGCTGAGCTTGAAGTGCCTAGTGACCACAACTAAACTGGCCAGTGTACCAGTTGGTGATATTACTTCTGTAAGCAAGCTCTTCCTTCTCTAAGTATTTTTACTACCAGTTTCCTAGCTCTACATGAATTTCCACTACACCATGATTTAAGCACCTGGGGTGAGATCTCATAAAATTAAAGCTAATGGCAAAATTCAGTTATGAAGTTCAGGTTCCTTATAAGTCTAAATCTAAATTCCTTAACATAGAAATTTTAATTTTCATAACTCTAAGAGATGATTTTGCAGTCTTTTACATTCACTATCAGTAGCACTCTTTCATCAAACAAGGGAGAAATCACCATAAAAAAGGGCGACAAAGTATTTATTAAGGGCTTGATAGCAAAGCTGTGTTTGTATCAAATACAAAGTAGCAGCTATAAGAGGGATGTACTTCAGAAATCTGATACTACTTGGCAAAGCTACTAATGGTGAAATCTGGTCATTGGTAAGACTTGGAAATAAAGCCTAACAGTGAGACATGAATCCTTCAAGGGCATTTCAGAAGAGGCTAGAAGCACTGGATTATCCCAAATCCATCCACCTCTGATGCTCCTATGGGCTCCTGATCCAGCAGACATCTCCTACATACTTCTGTCAGCCTTAAGAAGAACACAGCAGCCTGCCAACAGTGACTGCACACTACCTGTGGGATGCTGCACCAGCCCTGAAGGAAACATCTAAGCCTGCCCAGGTAAATCTCCATTTGTGCACCCTAGAGAGAGGTCCACCGAGCTTCTAGTGGCCCTTGACAGTGATTTTGTTTTCAAGGTACCACTGGGGAAGCCCCCAAGGACAATTTAGACACACTGTACTGAGATAACACTGAAAATAAGTGGAATGTATAATCTTATTCTTGTTCTCTGGCATGCTATGGCTATTTTGTAATCCTGAGTAATGATGGACAATTGTATAAAACAACAGTCCTCGCCACCAGCAGACAGATGGTAAAGCTGGGTAAATTAGATTAAAGATCAGGGACACATTTTCAGTAATAATGATGAATAAGTACTGAAACATCTACAAAAGGAAGTTATGTTTTCTCTGTTTCTTGACCTTTACAAGTCAAGACTGCAGGCTTTTCTTGTTTATGTGCTTTATTTACCACATTCAATATGGCTGTTAAGTTCTATATTAGAACAACTGGATGGAACTTTTGGTTTGCTTCACTCATGATGTCAGTCTACAGGACCTAAAGTCCTTTCACAACAACAAGTTGTGAAAAATGCATGTACATATCTAAAATTAATCACCTCATAAAAGCCCCAACATCTTTTATTATAGAAGAAACTTTACAATAAATAAATTCTGGGGAAAAAAAATCACTACAGTTAAAAGTACAGATTCATAAAGATTTTTTTCTGTAAGTTTTCCTGCCCACCAAATTTCATACTTGATAAATATATTAGAACACCTTTCAAAGACATAATACAGGCATTAGAATTACCTGAGTGTTTGAATTTAAAGAGCTTTTTTAGTTGCTTATAATTTTCATTTTCAGAAATACATACGTAAGGAGAAGATTTAACAGAAAAAAAAGATTGAGTGATTTTGTGAAAGCTTTCTGTAAAATGGCAGAAACAACATGTAAAGCAGTTTTTCATAGATCTCTGCTTTTTCCAGATATATGTGTTCATGGGAAAATTAAGACTTAAATACTGTATTACATAACAATATGTATTTCTTGATATTTTTGCTAGAACTTAACCCATTTAAAGGGTAGAAAACCAACATTACTATCAGTCTGAATTGCTGCCTCTCCCTGTCTCTCACTGCTCTCCCTCCAGGAATCCAAGTTCCACCAGGTTAGAATAGATCTATGGTGGATAACTTCTCAGAATATTTGTTTTCCTTCTTCTTCTCCCCCTGCCCTGGTATCAAAGAGACCTGCATTCCTAAGCACACTAATCACTGAATTCAAGCTGTACTATCAATATGCCTTGTGGAAAAACCTCTAAACATATGGGTTGAAAAGTTAGTACTGTTAGAAACCAGGCATGTGTAGCAGCAGCTGTCTTACTTGGCATAGCCTTTGTCAAGTTTTCTGGCACAAGTTTCACAACCACAGGCTTCTAATGGCCACTGGTATCAATCAACATGCTTGGACTAATTCTGAACATAGAAGTTTCACATTTCAAGAAGTTTCACATTCTAACAACTATTTTAAGTCAGTAAGCCTGATCTAATACACAGGAACATGCTCACTGCTAGCCCAGGGGCATGGCACCTTGCCTGCTTAGATACCAGGAAAAGAACAGTGGAAACTAAATCCACTTTAAGGACAGAACACATTCAGTTGGCCAGGGAGAATGCCAACTACAGTATCATGTTTAATTCTTAAACACTAATGACTGATTCATGGCAACAACCCCAAAGGGAAATACTCACCTGCTATTCTAGCAGTACATGAAGCACATTTTCAGGAGGTATTTTTTAACACTATTTGCAGGAATTCTGTTTTGTAACTCTATGCTATTAATAAATCTTATAATTTTAAACTAAATTTACCCCCTTGCCCAACTCTTGAAATAGAGGGGGAACAGAAACTTTATTTGGAATGCAATAACTACACAAAGAACACAAAGAGAAAAAAGTCATTACATGCTTCACTTGAAACAATGACATGCTACTGAGAGAACTACTCAGAGTGAACTACTGTGAGAATAAAGGTGCAAACCCCTCATCCTCAGTGACACTGGAGATACTGCTGATATTCAACTATATTGAAGCTAAAATTGTGCCTGGATAAATCACGTGTCTCATCTTGAGCAAGAAAGAAGAAATTATTTTGAAAGTATTCTAAAACCCCTTTTCCATTACTTTTCTTGCTCAGCATATTTGCAATATTCTTCGTGTCTGAGCTATTGGCTGTCATCTCCATGTAATCTGTTTCACAAAATAACAGAGGAAGAAAAATGATTCTCCAGTGGTTTACCAGAGACTCTACAAATGGTACCTTGCACTGAGTGCAACACCTGAACATGTCACACTTGGTTGCAAGGTCATTACAGTACAGAAATCTGTATTTCTTGATCAACAATGCATAGAACAGCAGGGAAAAAATGCAGTCACTCTAATTCTAGGTACAAAATAAAATTGAAATAATTTTAAATTTCATTATAAAAACCTTGAATTTATAAGGATAGTGCAGAAATTGAACAAGATATGCCTGGGTAGTCTTAACTTTAAATACCGAGAAGTCAGTGAGACCAAAAATGATGAATTTGAAAGTAGGTGTTTCCCATCTAATTACCTGTTTGATAACTGCAAAACTTTCAGCCTAAATGACAGAGTTTCTTATCTGTTTGTAAAGGAATCTCAGTCAGATGAAACAGCATATAAAGTAATGCAGGTCAGAAAAAAGATATCACCTACACGCACACATTGAGCAGTGAGAGAAATCCTCAAAGGCTTTTGTTGAGAAAGGATAATCTTAAGTATATGGTACAAATGCAAGAAAGGTCCAGGATTTTGTCTATGCATTTGTACCATATACTTAAGATTATCCTATCTCTTGCAGTTGAGACACTTCTGCCATTGACAAATGAACTGTCCTGATAAGCACAACTAATTCCTGACAGCCCAGATCCATCTCTCCAGCATTCCATTTGATGCAGATTCAATGTATCTACAAGTAGCCGAAGAAGGATGTGAAAGCTGAATAAAGAAGCAGACACATGAATGCTCAGTTAAGGGTTATATGCTATTGTTACTCTTTGCTGGCTCTTTTACTAAGTTAAGTTTTACAGAAGCATTTGCAGAATCAACCTATAACAAATACTTACGTTTGATGCTGGCCAACCTACTTTTGGGCAATGAACAGTCTACAGCTGCTGAAAATAAGAAAAACACCAAACGTGAGTGATTCAATATTTACTTAGTATATGTGATAGCTAGAAAAATGTAGTAATAAACCAACACAGAACAAAGACTAATATAATTCTTTATTTTAAAATATGCTAGTTACTGTGTACCTAAAGTATTAGGTTGTCATTAATATGGTCACAGGATTTGAGATAAAGCTCTCTGGCTAAAACACATATTTAAAGGAAGAATCATCACTTAATGAAGACTCCTTTCAAAAGGTTTCTGTACATTTTGTTCTGATAGCATTTACCTGCATACCTGAGGATACTGAGTATGTCACAAAACATAACATTGTGAGTATTGTATTTGTGAGTAGGGACTCTGTCAGTAACATGATTTTCTCATTTGCAAATACACATGGCAATTTTCACAGTCCTTAGAATTTGCTATTACTATTAATTACAAGATGAACAAACGCTTATTATGTTTTTGAAATAAAAATAATAAAACACATGGTGATCTAAGTTTAAGTAGAAATGTTCTGCCTTCATTCCTAAAATAATTTCTGTATGTTTGCTGTTATGACTATCACTGTGACTTTCAGTTCAGCCTATTACTTCATAATTCATTATTTCATCAAAAGCAGAATGAAGCCAATACAGCACAAAGTGCTCTAAAATTAAGGTAGGATCTTTGATAACATTTAAGGAAAATGCTTTCATACAAAATGTCCCATCTCAATAATAAAAGTATTATTAAGTAGCTGCCACATCTTCTTGCTGACATGTGTTTGGGTAAGAAAAAGGAAGAATAGTAAACTTCCTACCATTCAGTTCATTCCTTCTTGGTATGAGCCTATTCTGAGAGACTGAGCTAAATTTAGGGGGAGACAGTTCATTCATACATGCACACTTTTACCTTTGGCTGAAAGAATTCTGTTATAATGAACCACCATGTGATCTCTGATCAGGTATTGGCTAGCTAGATTTCGAGCGGAGCCAAGGCAGAAAACTGCAAGATTAAAATACATTTGAACATTAGAAAGGCGAGCAAAAGAATACTACAATTTTAAACAGTTATTAACTGCAATTCAATGTCACAAACTTTAAGACACCGTTTAACTTCTTTGCTCAAAGGCAGTATTTTTTTTACCAGTCACTATCACATGAAATTATCCTGTCTCCTTTTTCTATCCCAAATGAGCCATTAATTCAATAAATAGCTGCAAAAATAGCTGAAACTGTACTATGAAAATGTTAACATGGAAACTTCCTGTTCTTCACTCTATGTTCATTTGAAAAAAAAGGTATCTGAGGTGTCAGTATGGCACAGAATCACACACTAGCCTACGTAAACTACTAGCTTCAAATGCACATGTTTAACCTCAGGGGTAAACATATATATATATATAGAGAGAGAGAGATGTTAATTAGAGCTAATAGAGATGGGACATGTTTACATATTTGTTCATCTTGCTACCAATTTGTAGCCAGCAGTACAGTCAAGGCAAAACTAACTCCTTGAAAGTATTTTCAGTAATGCATACTAAATATAAGTACTGTTAAACTTCTCCACATAAGCTCGATGCAGAAGTTTTAAGAAAAATATTTTAAGCACCAAATCAATGAATTCACATAAAAGGAACCAAGCTGACCTTCTGATGAAAGTACATGTAACTTACCATTACTTTTATTACTTAAGTGTCCTTTAAATGGACTTGTTGGACCACATCTGGGAATGACAACAGCTGAGCATTCATTCATTTTAGCTAAATGTGAAACAAAAACCAAAGTTAGAGAAAAATCCCCACATATATTTTTATAGACAAGATAAAGCCTTTCTCCAAAGAATGCAAGGATGGTTCTAATGGATCTTCTTCAGAATCTTCTTCAATCATTTTAAAATCATTGAACTACAAGTGTAGTTAAATAATTTAATATAAACACCAAGATACAATGATAGTGCTCTGAGTGGTTCAGGGAGCTAAACAGCAGAACAGACCATCAGAACACTTTAGTCTGAACTTAACACTGGTCATTAAACTGTACAGAGATACAGTCATGATTCTGTTTCTATGTTAACCTCCAATTTGTTTCAAAGTTCATGGCACTTTGATAGACTGGGAACTCCATAGACAAGTGGAGATGCCAACAAAACTTAAACAACCAGTTGTTCTGAAAAATGAGAGAATGTGGATGAAAAGATCTGTATCTCCTCTTTGAAAACCACTGGCTGTCATGCAACCTAAGATTTAAAAATTGGCACAAGAGCTAATTAAGAATCTGCAACACTTTTAAAACAAATTTGGACAGGAGAAACACTAGGACTACAAATACTCGTGTATACAGAGCACTGCTTTAAGGCATCCAAAGTATATAAAATGTAAACCAAAACTAACAGGATTTTTTTAACAAGGTAAGTATACCAACCACACTTACTTAACATTAATTCTAAAACTGTACAGACAGATTCTACAAATTTAATAGCATTAACTATCAAGGTCCACGTGGTCTTCCCATCCCCACTGTACTTCTCAGCTGTCAGTTCAAGAGTGTGCAATCACCATGCAGGTGAAGTCGGTAACTCCACTGCTCTACTGCTCCTGCTGACCTCTGGCTTTCCCCCTTTCAGCCCATGAAGAAACACACTGGACCTACCCAGTATGAGTGGGAATCTCCTCCCAGTGACCTCAGCTAGGGTGCTAAAGGCAGACACCATTACAAACTGACCAGGGGTGCAGGGAGCCATGGTAACAGCCATGCCACACATGGTAACAGCTCCTAATCCCACCTCTCAAAGCTTACCCAGCACCTGGCTGTCCAGGGCTTCTGTTTTATTTCTCACTGTTATATAATGACTGTTGAAGTACTATTGCAATTACATATATAACTACTATAGTAGATAACTCCGTTTTTAAGTTCAACAGCATTGCACAAGACGGTTAACACGGTGTCTTAAATATTAATTAGTAGAGATTGCAGCAAAACAAACCATTCATTTAATGATGTTTTAACATTATTTACCCAAGGCCTTATAAAAAAAAACATACTATACTAAATTTTGAATGACTAAGACTAGTATAGGAGGCCATAAAAATATCTAAAGAAAAAACAAAAAAGAAAATTAAAGTAATTTTCCCCTGTTGTGAAATAACACTAAATCTGGACCAACAGATTCAACCTTTTTTACAAAGCACAGAAAATACCAGGGCAAGCTTGAATTATTTTCATACTTTGAAAGGCCAGCCTTTGTACAGTACAGGCTTCTGTGAAATAACAGTATTAGCTGTGGTGTTTGCAATAACAGCACTCTCACTCCTTTTGCTGTGAAGTTGCCAGACAAGCAGTTGAAAAAGGACAAAGAATAAAAAAGAAGAAAATGCTATTGGAGACTTTTTTTCAACACTATTCTGCAAGTGCTTTAACTTTATACTGTTATCTTCAAAGCCAAAGGACAACACTCCTGCTTGGAATGGCTCATTCCCCTCATGGTACAACTCTTCCTTATCTCTGCTTATAAGTTAAACATACATAGGGACATACAATAAATTATTTTTCAAATATTAAAATTCCAAATGCACAGCAAGAGTTTATTGGATTTATTAGATTCAGAATGTTTTCAAAATGACTGCAAACCTTTTCCAATAAAGCATTTCTTTCCTGTTAAAATATTTTATTTCTCTACCACACACTACTACATACAAGTGGTATTCACAGTCTAGCTGGATCCACCCTGAAACCCATGACTCGCAGAATGTACAACATGCAGGTGTTGGAACAATGCAAGCCTTTGGGAGGACTTGAATGTTAGATTATAAATTTCAGTTGATAGAATTTTCTCTAATGATAAAAACCTGCATGCATATACACCTGCAATCCAGATTACAGCAGACAACTGAGAATCGGAAGTGTTTCATTCACAATTGCTCAAATAACCTAAATATTCTACTGTTTTCTGTGCTTCAGAGCTAGGCTATAATTGCAGAGGGAAGCATCTGTGGTATTGTTAGGTAAATGCTTACAGTACCACCTCTAACTCACCTATGTGACAGAACCCTAGAAGGGCAAGTATGATCACGTTAAAAAAGCAGACATTGCTCTCTCTACAACCGATTCTCTTCAAGTAAGCTAAATGACTTTGTCCCGCGTTAAACACCATCAGGGACACTCGGAAACCTGCTGCCTTTACTGTCTTCAGCTGCAGACACAACTGTTCAGCACCGCAGGAAGACTGGACTTTACAATGTTCACTTGCTTTGCATCACCAGCAGATGGCACAGTGGAAATTCCACGGAAAAACTGTCTGCTGGTTTAGTGCTTTACAATTAATTTGTACCCGGGGAAGGAGCAGGGAGGAAAAAAATCAGTATTTCACAGACATCAGTATTCACAGGCAAAAAAAGCTGTCAAAAAGTGTCAGTCAGGAGAAATAAAAAAATATTTCTGTGCCCTCTATTTTGACTAAGGATATATAGACAGCACAGAAAACACTCTTATCATGAAGAAGCCTGTTGCTAATGTCAGAGAAGAAACTGGAGAATTTGGTATGTGCAGGCTCTTTCAACCTTACTGAAGGTAGGAAGTGCTAATGGTCAAAAGTTTCACAACTATCATTTCAGGTTGTCTTTTGACTTGAACGGGTATTTATTTGGATTCCAGCTGTGTTTTCAGTTATTTGCACAACAGCAGAAACAAACTGAAGGCTCAGATATGTGAAGAGAATTTTAAAGGAGAAGGTGGGATTTTCAGTAATTTACAGCTAAGCAAATATGAACCAAACAATGGGAGAATAACTATGAAAATATCTTTGATATATGACACATGTAACTATCTGATCTAAAAGTAAATTTCCTTATAGATATAAGTGGACAGTCCACACTGAATACAAAATCAGGATTTTCATACTGAGTGTTGTCCTAAAGTACAGACAGGAAACAAATTAAATACTTCTAAAAATTTATTTGATCTTTTATTCCTTCTATGACACTAAGCAATAATGGAGATAAAACCAAAAAATCTTTCTCTAAAATTTTTTCCAGCTGGTATCTAACATAAGTCATAACTATATTATTCCAAAAAGAATTGAAAAATATTTTGTTTAAATTATATTTTTATTTTATTTAAAATGCATCCTATCCTAATTTCTGATTTTACAGTATTATAAGTTATATAAATCGGTGGTTTACTTTGTTTCCTGATTGTTAGCGGATATGCAGAATTTACAGAAATTATTTTTCTACAAAGCCATTTCAGATTTGGAACGTGAATATGCACTGGAAAGAAGCCCAGTCTTTCATTACCATGTTCTCCCAGAAAAGATTTTAAACACAAGTATTAGACTTACTATTTTTAAGCATGTAGTTCAGTCATAGTAAATGAAAATTAAATAAATAAATCAATCACGCTATCTTTACCCATCAAGACTTGCTACTTAAAAGATAATCCATAAAAATACAGAGACCCTAGGTGGGATATTGGATATAGACATCTAAATCTAGCACTACAACACATAAAACCTTAACTGTGTAGAGACCTGTGAACACTATAATTTCCAAAAAGCAGCTCCCAGACCTTAGCCTGGATTCAAACAACCCTCAGCCCCAGGTGGATTTAGACTTCAGGTCTCCACAGCTGTTCCAGAAGAATATGCTTATCACTGCCAATATTGACCCTTTTGTGCAGCAGTTTGGTTTTGGTGGCTCCAGGACTCTCACATTCCTAGCTCTAGAGTGGCTTCCTCTCAGCTGGCAATGCAAAAACACCTCTGCCTCTAACAGACTAGAATTGCATCACTTGCATGAGATTTGGGCATTTGATCCCTCTGAGCCTGATATGGACCCAAGCTGACAAATGCTTTGCAAAGACTCTGGCCACTGCAGTGATTTATGTCTGAAATTTACAGCAGAAACCTGCATATTGTAAATTTCAGCACAAACCTGCAAATGTAAATTTCAGTCTACCACTACCACCCTTATTCTACCAGCCAGTTTCATGACCTCTTCAACGAGCTTCTGCTATGAATTAACTCCTTTAACTCTATACAACTAACAGTACACAACAGCATTAATGCTGTACATGTGCTGAGGAAGAACAAATCTGTAAAATCCAAAATTACTTCAAGCAGTGATGGAAACTTCTCTAAACATCTTATCTAATATGTCTGACAAGGTCATACTTGAAGGAACTGAATTATGACCTGAAATACATGTTCCTTGCCTTTTGGTACTAGGAGAATTTTCAAACCAGAGTCAGAGTACCCATTAATTCTTTATGCTACAGAAATTTTTATATATATGAATACAACACAGAAATACACAGAGGAAAGATGATAGCTCAGAGTACATTAAAAGATTAACCTAGTTACAAAAATCCACCTTGGATTTAAACTTTATTTAAATAAGAAACTATTTTTTTATATTTTTAACTGTTTGCCCTTTGTATTAGCATGATATACTTAAAAAACGCTCATATTCTATTAGCAGTACTACCAATGAGGCCAGCTCTCCTATTCATGTAGCTTACATCTTTGTACCATTCCCCTAAACTCCTTCCAATATCCCAAATTTGCTGCCTCTTCCTTACCTGTGGCCATTCCTCCCCTCAAACACTCCCTACTTGCTCAGCGGTGGCTGATGAGGAGCTATAGGAACTACAATTGGTCATCTAGTTTAAGCTTCTCTCGTTGCTTATCCCTGGCTGCCTAGTTCTTACCCTCTACTTACATATCTGGGAATGAACACAGAACAGAATGAGTTCCTCTACAAAATGTGTATTTATTTGTTGGATTTTCTCCTACCCAGCCACTGGGTATTATTAATGCTCCTAGTTCTTACTCACAGATGGGTGAAGCTGGCAACAGATGCAGAACTGGATAGACAAAAAGGCCAGCAGAGAGCAGTGACCCACCCACAGACTCCTTCTCTAGGTGAAGAACACAGGTGAAAACATGGCAAGTGTCCGCTACTTTTCTGCAGCACCTATGCAATCATGAGAGGCCTTCAAACATGGCTTCAGATTTAGCCACTTACTGAATGCAGATAGTACTCCAGTTTATTTGAAAGTTACAGAGAGGCAAAACAAGCATAACACAATGACGCCTGTATTTTCTTTCCTGTTCATGCAAGTGAAACAGAAGCCTGGACCCCTTGGTCCAACAGAACCTTGGACCCCTTTCTGGTTTCACTGATAACAAAACTCTATTCAATCCTGGGAGTATAAGGTCTCACATGTGAAGCCCTCTTTAAAATAATCACATTTAAAATTTGTTAATAAATAGCAGAATTCACCAGCAGAAAGAATAGTCATTATTATCTAAAAAGCAAAAATCAATGAATAGAGAGACCCAGGAATTCACACTACTCCAATTTTAAAATAAAGTTCCAAATGTTCCATCTGGATTTTGCATGGGATCATTTGTGTCACAGGCAAAATATGACAAAAATGATACACTCCCTGACAAGCACTATACATAACCTCCTAAGCCATTAATTAGATGGGTGCTATTTATACACTTAGTATGCTGGATTACACAAAAGCTCTTTACACATACTCTCAATGCCTAACAGTTAGGTCTCTCAGACCTTTAGAATTAATAATCTTACAGTATTCTGTATTAATTAAAACCATGCAATCAAAATTGTATTTCAGTTCAAGAGTCAAGCCCTCCTCTGAAAAATTTAAGCAATCTAATGAAATAATACAGTAGCCTTGAGTCATATCTGATTACACAAGTCTGGAAAAATATTTGTAAAACTTTTTCTAGCTACAGGCTTCAGCAAAGGAAGTTCTGGATGCAAACTACTGCTCTCTTCATACTCCAAAAGCAGAAGCAAACAGTAGCACATGTTGTCATATGAACCGCAGGCAAAAGAAAATGAATTTATGTCAGTTTGCTACAACTGCCTGGAAGGAGCCTGTGATGAGGTGGATATCAGACTCTTCTCCCAGTCACAATTTACAATTTACTGAGTGAAGGTCTTAATTTGATAAATTAAAGTAAATTTGATAAAAAGTTAGGAACACTGACTAACACTTCCCAATTTCAGTTAAAATTATTATAATCCATATAAAACTTGTACATGTCCTTCCTTCTTTTAAGACATAACTAGACAATTTTCCATCTTTCTTGTTGGTCAAAGAAAATTTCAGCTTCTAAAAACTGGTGCTACCAAAGAAGTAATTTAGTAAATTTAATAAGCTGTTTGGTCAAGTGATAAATGAAGGAATAATTTTTTAAAAAAGTAGTTCACAAGTCTGTGTTAACACCCTTTCAGCTCTAGTCAGTTTAATGCAAGGACTTCCTACAATGGAGAAAAAATCTAAATAAGATGATGTTGTCTATAAACATGTGAAGCATTTAAATTTTGTTTTAAAATCCTGGAAGCCTGTGTAAATTGTCTAAACCTAACAGCAGCCTCCATGCAGCAGTAATGATGAGTTTCCCACTCATCCCTATTTTATGCTTTAAGATAAAAGTGGCCCAAATGTGTGTCATTGATTAACAGTAAGTGCACAATGCTGTTAGGTATTGCTGTTTCTGAACACATACCTGAACAGCAATGGGAATTAAGCAGCCCAATGCAGAGGACTGGATTTAAGCAACAAAGCTGGTTTAAAATTACAGTATTCAGATTATTTGAGGTCATACTATAAATCTGCGAGTATATTAACTGGCTCCTGAAAATACAACAGTAAATAACTTCAAGGTTTATACCTGGAATTAGGGAAAAACATAGCAGATTAATTCTTTGTATTTCTAGGAGGGTAAAAAAATCTCAGCCTTACTTGAACTTTGACAAGACCTACATGAAAATCCTATATACTCCTATACATATTTTCTCAGTATTCTCACTAGGTAAAACAAGGCCTGATACAAACAAGTGCCAAATTTTGGTTCTTTCCTTAAAATGATGAGGCTAAGATTGAACAACAAACTTTGAATGACATACAACCAGGACAAGGAATAGTGCATCCAACTTTCTCTGTATTAACACTTTACATACAACTCTTTTGAGAAACCATAAATATGATGTGTTCTCCCCTTTCATGAACTGCAAGCAACCCAGTGGCTGTTCTGCCAAGTTTGCTCAGGCACACAGACTTCCAGCTCAGCTCAGTGTATCAGTCTCTCTGCCTGTGCTAATCCTGGCTGTCTGTAAGGATCCTGAGAACCTCACACTGGACTGTTCAGCCACACATTTCTGCCTCCACTGTAACCTCCTATGCAGACAATTCAATGGCTTCCCAATTTAACAAACACACCGTAATTCTTCCTTACTTTTGAACTTTTTTTGCTGAAGAGAAGTCATTCAAGTAAAGCTTGCTGCAAGCTGAATTAAATTTAGATCCTGAATCCTATTTATTCCCTTTTTATGGTCAACAACCAGCATGCTTTCTGATTGTCCATAAAAGTATTTTGACAAACATAAGAATAGTCAGGAAAAGGATGTATTTGTCATAAAACTTCCGTCAAATTACATAAGAGAGCAAAAAATTGGGTGCACAAGATACTAGTTTTTGCTCTGAATTTCATATTCCCATACAGTATTAGAATTTATGTTCAAACTGTAATTTGATATCAGACATCTTCTGAAGTGGCATCTGTCACTGTCTCCAAAGACTGGAACTGACACTGAGATGCAACACAAAAAGCCTAATGTTATCTCAAATGGCTCTGATTTTATGCAGCGATGCATGATCTTGACATTACAATGCAGCACTGAATAACTCCTACCACTGTTTTATATTATGCATGTAATCAAGTTTATAACTGAAAATATTTTAGGTATTTTCCAAGAGCCACAGTTGGCTCATGCAAGCATTTTCGCATGTTTACACCTTTTTTTATCATGAATGACAAGTGCCCCTAGGACTATTCATAGGAACAGGGCACCAGAGCAGCCCACGGATAGTTAAATGTGGCTAAGGAATCACTTTGTAAGACCCTTAAAACTTCGGAGTCTTTTATTTTTCAACCACACTTGCATTAAAATCCCACCACACCAAAACACTTTGATCTCCAGCTAAACGCCGTGGGATGTTGTACACACAGGGTACAATCCATTACAACCCACGAACAGCAGCTTTGGGGAAGACGAAAGCTGACTAAGAAAAGAAGCGGGCACAGAAATCGCAAACGCGGCCGATCCCGGCAGCCTGAAGCGCTCGGTGCCGGTACAATAAGGAGGCACCGGGCGGTGACGGCTGCAGGATGCACAATTCCAGGCCCCGTCTCCAGGTGGATTACAGCCCGTCACGGGCTGTGCGTGCCCCCCTCCCGAGCCGCGGCCCTCGGCTCCTCCACCGCCGTTCCACCGCCCCGCCGGCTCCGCTCGCGGCACGGCCGGGCCGGCACGGCTCCGGCTCGGGGCGGCCGCGTGGACAGGAGCGAGCCTCGACCCCCCCCGAGCCCCGGGGGCTGCCGGAGCCACGGCGGCTCGGGCGGCCCCCTGCCCCGCAGGCTCCGTGCCCGCCCACACACGCCAGCGGGGAAGGCGGAGGCGCCGCCTGCCCCCAGCCCCGGGCGAGACGTGCCGCGCCCCGCACCACCACGGCCGGCAGGGACGGGGGAGGCCGCAAGGCAACGCGTCCCCCGGGCTGCAGCCGCCGCCCTGCCGCGGCCAGCGCTCCCCGCTCCTCCCGCAGCCGCCACCGACCCCCCGCACCTTGGCTCCGCCTGCCGCCGCGCTGCATCCTCAGCCCCATGCTCCCGGCCGGGCCCGAAGGGGCGGCGCCGGCCGGGCTCGGCGCTGCGGCGGTTCGTCCCGAGCCGCGGGCGGGGCGGCCGGGCCGGGCTGGGGAGGGCAGGGCCGCTGGGCCTCGGGCCCGAAACCCCTGCCCGCGGGGGAGGTTCTGTGCCCGTCCGCGAACGGCCCTCATTACCCAAGCCTTTCTCTTGTAACTTGACGGGAAGTTGAAGAATAATGAACGCCCGGGAGAAATTTACGGCAGTTTGCTGATGTTTGAGGGAACGAGTGACAAAACGAGAGCTTAGAGCGTTGCCAGTGCGTTACACTGAAGAAATTAAGCTCAATGTCTTTGAAAACCAACTGCATTTTAAAAATGAACCACAAAAGAACCTTTTGAAAAGCAGCCCTTGATCGCATCACTGATTAATGTGTGCAGGCCGATGTGCTGGATTTGAACTTTGTGAAGAAGCAATAGGGTGGTATTTACAGTTTGTCTGACAAACTGTATTTCCCTAATGTGAAATCTCTCAGGGCTTTTGTACTTTTTGTGTGAAGATTTTTTTCACTGACTGGCCAAGGGTACTGCAGTCCCTTCCACAGCCTAACGCATCACAAAATCACGTTGTCCCAGATGGAGGGACATTCCCCTTCAGTATCTAGAAATGAGTATTAATTATAGGCTAAATACAGTGTTTTATATGATTTGCTACACTTTCTTACATGCTAGAAAAATTCATTTGAATGTAGCTCAAAATCATAATAAAATCAAAGGAATGTTACTTGAAAACAACTTTTCTTCCTCATTTCTGCCTCAGTCAATGCTCCAACTTGTTTGCACAACACATGTTGGATGAAATCAGTAGTTTATCTGCCCCAGTACTTTGTGTAGACTCTACCAAATACTTCAAAAAAATCTTCCGTAGTAGAACTCTTCACTCTTCTGACTACTGAATGTTGTGATGTCCCTTTTAATTATATATATACCAATTATGAAGTACTTCTTACTAGCCTTAGTTTCTGTTATCCATGTTGTAGTTATCATTTTGGCTGTTTTCTCTAAAATCATCCTTAAATGTAGTTGGTGTCAAATTTGTCAGGGGAGAGGTCAGGGAAGTGAATGTATACCTTGGAAACTCATCGGTCCTCCGTCTTCTGGTGGCCCTCTGTCTTTCTGACTGCTTTTTATATAAAAGCATCAGTTGCCATAGCATTTCAACTACTGTCAACCATAAGGTCACAAACACCTTACCTTCTTGTCAAATCAAAATAATTTTATAGCATTTTCCTTTATGTCTCTTGGATTTGAGTCAATGTCTTGGAAAATATCTACCAGGAAAAATCTACAAAACCAAAAAAACACAATCTAAGAGTTTTGGGGGGTTTTGTTTATTTGTTTTTGTTCATTTTTTTGTTGTTTAATTTTTTGTTTTGTTTGATTTTGTTTATTTTTGTCTTTTGTTTTCTGAAGCAGATAGTGAAATTAGAGATTTGGGGAAAGGGCTTCAGGAAATTATTTAGCATTCTTCTTGTGTTTCAGGGCCTCTGGTTTATACTTTCATTAGTATAAATACATTATACACATTAGTATTAGTATACATTTCATTTCACAATTCAGATTGTTAAATCTGTAGATTTTAAAGGTAGAGATAGTCTTTAAACAATTTCCATTTCAGATACCTGAAGATCCTGGAGAGAAAAAAATAAGTGTACAAGATTCTCACCTCTATGTGGTTGGCTGTAATACTTTCTACTACAGAGATCATGTCACAGAAAACACTTGTCTCTGTTTTTCAAAAACAAAACAAAACCCAAAAAACAAGCCTGCCTATAGTTTTTTCTATACTTTTGAAAGACTTTTTTTGTTTCTTTCTTTTTCTGAAATATCAGTTTCCCAAATACTCAGTTTGTAGTACTCAATATACAGTGTTAGGCTGTTCTGTACAAACCCATATGACAGATTTCTCATAGTCTCTTCCTTATTGTTCCTATGCTTTTTCCCACCACATAGATAATTAAAACACATAAATGTAAGTAGGCATTTTTAGAAAAATTCCCCTGGTTTCTAGGCAACGCTGAGGGAATGTGGAGATTTCTGTTTGTTCTGTTTCAGTCAGCAGTCACAGCATCATAGAGATATCCTGTCTCTGAAATTTTTGACCACCAGTGGCAACACACACGAAAGCTTTATGTATTTCTGATTGGTCTCACTTATGGGTCTGAGGTGACTTTTGGCCTCCTTTGTTCTGTGAGAGTATATATATTTTGAGTGTAATTAAAAAGTAACAGTTTTATAATGGTGTGCACATTAAGTCCCATAACATGCATTAAGCAACAACAACAATAAAAGCCTTAACAAAAATGGAATCAGTTCTGGATTTTGATCTGCTCAAAAAAGTACAGAAATAAGTTGCACTGTTACACTACAATAAGATCACTGCAGAGATCTTACCATTGTTGAAGAGTAACATGTCAAAACCTGTAAGATTTGTCCTTTCCCAGTCTGAAAACAGGAAACATGGCAATCACTGTTGTTGTCTGACAGCAGCAGGCATTTTCCCCTTTTCCTTAGGATGCATTACAACAGAGCATAGTTTTAAAATGTGCCTTCACTGGGAGGGAAGGAAAGGACCAGGTGCATGAGAGTCACATTTGCAAGTGTAGGTGGGCATCTGTCCCCACCCTGGCATGGACTTAGGGAACAACTGCCTTCTTTTCTGCTACTTCTGCCCTCTGTATCATCCAGCGTAGACACCTAACTTCTGTAAAAATGTACAATTCATATATCCAGCAACAAACCAACACAGAGAGAACTATGTCCAAAAAAAGGGAAGTACCCAGTAAGATGTCCACTTTCTTTTGCATGCGTGGCCCAGACAAGTTTCCATTCCTCTGAAAAAGGTGGTGTGTCTGGCAGGGTCTCAAACGGTTACTTGCTTGCTTGGGACAGAGATCTGTTCATAATGTCAGAACTTTGCTTTTGTAGGATTTGGATTTCTTGGAAAAATATTTTGTGTGTACCTTGGAAAATTAATCTGCAGTTCTTTGGAGAGTCCTCCTCTTTCAAGCCATTGATTTTCTATTATGCTTTCTTTTCCTTACAGCAGTCAAATGAGCATACAGGCAGGAAACAGCCCAACAACCAGATCTGCATACTCTATTCACAGAGTATTCTAGAACAGTCCTGAATTCATCACAACATGTGATCATGGAAATAAGTCTCCTGAGTTTACTTGAGTATTTATTTGGCATAAGTGCCCCATCTCAGTGCAGATTGTCACCTGCCTGTGGCTCTGTGTGTCAGTGTTCCAAATCCCTTGTTGCAGCTCTCAGAGGACTGGCACTGAATTGCAGCAATTCCCACCTGGCACATTCAAATCATCAACCTTGAAGTCTGTTCCCCTACAACTACGTGGAAATAAAAACATTTACCTGAAAGATTAGAGCACAATGGTATCTTCTAAATGCATTTAAACAGATTGGCTGAGCAGTTTTCTTTTGCTACCTACTTAGAAAATTCTTGTGTTGAGACAACTGAAGTAGCTTTCAGACAGCTGGTGTGAGGGGAAAAAATAGATTTAATAGCTACTGAAATATGTTGTTTGCTTGTTTTGGATTCCTTTAAAGGATTACTTTTCCAGGAGGAATGGTAGATTCTTTTCTGCCTTGTGTTTGCTGCGTGTTCTTTGGTCATACGGTTCTTCATGTTATTTAAAATCATGTACAGTCTTGAAATATCATTGCAGCTTTCTAAATGATGGAGAGTTATGTGTTTTGGCAGGGCTGCAGACTCCTTCGCTTCCTTCATGGCAATGCATTTAGTTGTTCTGTTGTTGTCTGTATGGCAGCAGTAGTTGTGGATTGTTGTAAAGCTAGGGCTCCACTGGGAAAGATGACGCAAAAAAACTTCGGAGGAGATGATCCATATCTTAAAAACTATGGCTTTTAATACCTTGTGATTTAGAATGCAATAAGGGAGCTAGCCTAAAATAAGAGAGCAACTATAGGAATATATAATGATATAAAGTTTATATGAACACAGTATTAAACTTCCATAAAATTTATCAGCTTAGAATGAAAAGTCTTCCCTGCAGCATATATAGAATAACTGCTACAAAAACCCCTTCAGGATAGTGTACAACTGCTGCTGTGCAGTTGTACGCTATACAACCATTCTTTCTCTTTAGACCTATACAGAGTTTATAATACACCTATAGTGTCATACAAGTCTGTTTTTAGATGTGTCAAGGAAGAAACCTGTATAAATTGTATGAGATGTTATTCTGAGCAGTAATGTAATATCTAGTAGCTGGAGTGACTTGGGATCTGCTTGTATTTCTCCTTGTATTGTGTCATTTTCTGTTTATCTGCTATTCCCATGCAAGTTTGCAGATGGAAGGCTTCTAGGTGAAAAACTGTTCTTTAGTAGGGCTGACTGCTGAGGGCTGTTCATTTCTCATTACTTTAATTAATTTAGGTATTAAATAATGTAGACTGGAATAACTAATTAAATATATTGGAATTTTTAAGGGAAGAAAAGCCCATGTAAATATCATAATTCTGTTGTCTAGAGCATAAGAAATTATTTTTTTTTCTAATTGATTTACCTACTGTGATTCATAGAAATGCTTACTCATACTAATTAATGAGAAACAGAATGATTTTTTTTTAATATTTCAGTGAAGATCAGAAACTTATGACCCAGATTAGACATATATAAATGATACAACTCCAGTAAATTCAATGGACCTATTCCTGCTTAGCCTGGATGGATCATCTATGTCTACTTAGCCCATGTCAGGCAGACAGAAGAATGTCATTGTGACATTTTGTGCGGCCCCTTCACTTTCTACACAGCTACTACAGCATGCTCAGGCTTACCTGGCAATGTATTTTCCATGCACATTCTTCAATAAATGGGATCCTCTGTGCTAAAGAGAGTTCTTCCATCTTTGTCAAGGTCAAGAAGAGAAATTCTCAAGGGTATCTTTAGAATTTTCCACAAAAGGAGGCACAAATATACTATGATTTTCCAAAGCCCTTTGATGCATTTTCAATATCTACATGAATGTG